TTCTGCAAGTATTACGATCCTGTTATCTGGAGCTCTGTGTGAGTGTCACAGCAGCAGCGGGAGTAGGAGGACGAGTAGTAGTAGCAGTAGTAGCAGTAGTAGTTGTCGTAGTAGTAGTGGTCGTGGTACTGGCGGTGGTTGTGGAAGTTTTGGTAGTGGTAGTGGTCGTCGTCTTCGTCGTCCTCGTCGTTGTCGTTGTGAGAAGCTCGGCAGCAATGGCAAGAAGAGTAACGGAGAACAAGACATTCATAAAAAACGTTCCGCAAAGAGAACAGAGTAGAGTTGCGGTTGTGCGAACGAGGGTAGCGAGGGTGTCAGTGTTTCTTGAATCTAAAACTCTGACCCCGACTCCTCAACCTCAGGCCCTAAACCCTGTTTGCCAGTTACAATGTTGAGGTTCCATGGCCTCGCCAAGCCCCGCGCGTGCGCTGGTTGCCAAAGCTTCACCCGCCAGGCCTCGGAAAATGCAAGGGCTGCCACTATTACTGCTGCCTGATCAAGAAACCCTGGGCCTATAACCCCCCAAATAGTAGGATTCATATAAGGAACCCGAATAAAGACCCAGGTCAGGTTCTGACATCATTATAGTACCCTTATAGATCCCTTATAGTAACCCTAACCCTTATACACCCCTTCAAAGGAACCCCTAGGCCCAAGGTTTCTGAATAGAAACCTTATATCCAAGGGTAAAAGGAGGGACCCTTAATAAGGACCCCTAGGTATTTTCCCTTAACATAGCTATTATATACCCATTATATAGCCCATTATAGGGTAGGGGTCCCCATTGAGGGTCCCTCCTTTTCCCCTAAACCCCCTAAACCCCCAAACCTCTAAACCCTAAACCCTAAACCCTATACCCTTATAGCATCCCTATAGATCCCTTTAAAGGGACCCATTAAGGGTCCCTCCTTTTTCCCTTTGATTAGAAAGAGTCCCCTCCCTGGCAGGCTTCGGGTGCAGTTCCGGCCAGAGCAGGCTTCCCCCCCAAAGTTCGCCGAGGATCTAGAAAGTGGATCCCCTAATTTGGGTTTAGGGTTTAGGGGTTTAGGGTTTTTTGGGTTTAGGGGTTTTGGGGTTTTGGGTTTAGGGTTTAGGATCTCGAAAGTGGATCACCGAATTTGGGGCCCTGTACAACTAAGGGTACTTTAGAGGAACCGCCATTAAGGGATCTAGTTTTTGGATCCTCCCGGGGGTCTGGGCCTGATCTCGGCCGGAGGTTCGTTCATCGAAAGCAAGGGTTGGGCTTGGGGAAGGGTTTGGATTTTTAGGGATTTAGGGTTGAGGGTTCAGGGGTTAGGGCTAGGGTTTAGGGGTTTACGATTTAGGGTTTAGGGTTGAGCGGGGTTCAGGTTCCGGGCATATACGTGACCCAGGTGTAAGAAGGGTCAGTGTTTAGAGTTCTTGGCTTGAGGTTCAGTTTGGAGTGCTACCGTCGGGGTTTCGTGTGACAAGTATGTTGATGTTGAACACGATGGGCACCGCAACAACCATTGCCGGAGAATGCGAAATAGTGGTGCAGTGACAAGTATGATGGTAGTGCAGGTTTTTGATAGTGACCCCCACAACAGGATGATGATGATGATCAGAAATATGCATTATCTGTCATTAGCTGGTAGTCTCATCACGATTGCAATGCCCAGACCTAAACCCTAAACCTTAAGCTTGGAAAGATGAAGGATTGGCGGTTTTGTCAGACGGGGTTAGCTTCTTCCGGTGCCGTTAAGTGCACGCTCAGTTTGAGTGAGCTTTATTGCGGAGAAAGGGGGCTATTTTAGAAGCTGCCCCCACCCTGTAACAGTGGTATAATAGGAATATAATAGGGCCCTAATATAATCCTATATAATCCTTATGGTCACTATTACAGGGTGGGGGGGCCCCTTCTAAGGGCTATTGCATTTAAGAGCGTAAACCCAAAGCCGGGCAGCCGGTGAAGACTCCGGGTATTAAGGACACTCTTATAGAAGGACCTCTTAGATCCCTGACAGAAGTTCTTGAACGACATCCTACGGCCCTAGCCCTAAACCCCGAAAGCCCTCAAGACGTCAAGCCCTTAAGCCCTAAAGCACCACAGCCGCAGGCCCTAAAGCCTGAATGCTGAAGACTACAGCCCAAAAGCTCTACAGCCCCAAAAGCCCGACAGTCCCTACAGCCCAGAAGCCTCAAGCTCTGTCTGCAGAACTCTTGTAATCTCATTGTAGAGCCCTTTAAGGAACCCTTGTAAAAACGCTTGAAGAAGCATAAACCCTAGACCCTTGGTAAAGGGACCCTCATAAACACAGGCTGCGCCTTCTACCCTTGAGCAAGGCAAGACTGTACTCAGGGGTTTAGGGCAAGTTTAGAGGGTCTTCACCTGGTTTTGAGGTTTCGGGCTTAGTTTACTTTCCAGGGTTTCAGCGGTTTAAGGTTTTTGAGTTTTGACATAATAGGGATGTAGGGCTGAGGGTTTAGGGTTTAGTGTGTAGGATTCGAAAACTTGAGGTCCCAGCATTTGGTACACGGTTTTTCGACTTCAGTATGGGCTTTAAACGTGGGCTATGAGGGATCTCCGAGGTTTGCTGGGGCTTGAGCGGGGTGCTGGATGTGATGCAGTGGTCGGAAGAATCATCTGGGGTCAGGTTTGTTGGCTCTAGAGATTGTTCTGAAGGATGTTTGAGAAGAGAGCGAGTCTTAAGGGAGCTACCTCGTCATGGTTGGCTTGGGCTTCAGCTGCATGCCCTCAATAACTAGAGCAAGTTTTGTGATACAGTTTAAAGTCCTGGTATACTTACATGGAGCTATGAAAGGGCGCGTGTTTGCACTATACCCCTTAGCCTTAGACTCGTCCACCTCGCTTTTCAATTTTCAAGCTAAGTTCACGATATTAGGCACCGTGAACACGGCTACAAAAGGTTTCGTTGAAAAACACACCTCAAAGTCCTAACGCCAATTAACAAGTCTCGAAACCCCATAGCAGCTGGAACAGGGCCCCGAAAAGCCCCAAATCGTATTCTGTTCGATGCCGGAGGCTTGGTACGTCTGCGACGTGGAAGCCAACTCTGCGACTCGGACCTTGCGTGCTGCGCACTGCCGTACCCCACAGAACAACATCAAAAAGTAGTTTGACACCCTTAGAAACCCTAACCCTAAACCCTAAACCCTCGAAGCCCTAAACAAGACCCTGAAGCCTGCGGCCGTGAAGCCGCGGACCTCAAGCATCCTTCAACTATAGTCTCCCTAGGAATTATTTCTGTATCTTTGTTCATATAAAACCCAAGAGACTATTAAACACATTGTTATTATTATTACTATTATTATTATTATTACTATTATTATTATTATTGGTATTGTTATTTTTATTATTATGATTATTAGTATGATTATTATTATGATAATCATTATGGTTCTCAGGGGGGGGTATAGTCAAGTCTTTCACCAGACCGAGGTGACGTCAGCATCGTCTCCGGGTTTGGACGGATCCCAGCGCATAAAGCAGCGCTGCCGGCCTCCTTTTTGTGGGCTCTCTCTGGTATTGAGTCGGGAACTAAAGCCACGGTTTAGGGTTTAGGGTTTTGGTTTAGGGTTTAGGGTTTAGGGGAGTGCCTTAACCCGGAATAACCTCCTTTTTTAAGGACTTGTATCAGGACATCATAACAAGGAACCCTAAGAAGGTAGGTTCTTCAGGGTTAAGGTAGGGAACGGGGGGAGGGGTTGTAGGGACGAATGTAGGAACCTGGTTAAGATCCAAAATAGTAGGATTCATACAGTCATAACCCGAATAAAGGGTCAAGGTTTCTGAACCAGGTTCCTACATTACTATAAGGGACTATCATAGCTACTATCGGGGACTCTCATTAGCTTCCATCCTCCCATTCTCTGCTAAGAATGTGGGAGTTGCTTTCCATGCGATTCTTTGCAGAAGTCGCCGAAGCCTGGAGCCCGATCCGCTTTAGCTGAGGAGTACTCACTGCTTATAAGTGCCTTAAAAGGGACCCTAATGGGGGTTATGGTACTTATAAGTCTCTAAAATAACTACTTACTAAGTCCCCCGACCCTCCAAAGTGTTCCTGCACTGCTACAACAAACCCCATAAAGTTGGACACCGAATTAAGAAAAAGTGCTTTGATTCCCCATACACTACTCTTAAGGATTGAGGCTATTGGGTTTCCAACTTTTTGGTTTGTACTGTAAGAGGGTTTAGGGTTTAGGTTGTAGTATTGCCAACGTAAAGTAAGCAGTGGTCCTTAGTGAGACGAAGGTGTCTTGACAGAGGTCCAACAACAAGATTCAAGGTATGATAAGAGAAAGGTCCGTTGCCCGAATTAAGTTAAGGGGTAAGAGTTGGGCTCTCTGGGGAATCCATGCATTCAACTCGAAGGCAGCCCTAAACCCTAACCCTAAACCATAAACCTTGAACCCTAAACCCTAAACCCTAAACCCTAAACCCTAAACCCTAAACCCTAAACCCTAACCCTAAACCATAAACCTTGAACCCTAAATCCTAAACCCTATCTAAACCCAAAATCTGGCCGCAGTTTTGTTTCTGCTTCCTCGATCGAGCCTGGCGATGTTCCCCGAACATGCATGGTGACGAAGAACTAGGTGGGGCTTTGGGACATTTTATATTTTCCCTTATTGGGCTTAAGAGGATCTTATTTACTAATATTTTTCAAAAGCCTTAAAAGCCCCACCTAGAGAAAATGCATGGAGACTGATATAGATACAGGGGCCTAATGATTCGGATAGGGTTGCTGTCAAATGGTTCCCTTCAGAGTTCTTTCCTACGGGACCCAGCGTCGTTGTTTAGGGTACAGGGTCCTTCACATTTCAGATGGGGTTTCGGGGGATACCACGGTATCAAGTTATTGAAAGGACTACGTATAAGGGGACCTTCAGTAGCCCAGCATTCTTCCGGGTCTGCTTATCGGGGAGCCCCAAACTTCGCATCCTATAACCTCAACTCTAAGCCCTTGCTTCAGGCCTTAGGGTTTACCCTAAACTTAAAACCCCAAAACTTTAGAGCCATGGTTGAAGGGGATGGCTGCCATCGTATCGCGGCGCAGCACCGCAAGCAGCTGGTTGGGCGGAAGCTCGCCGCACGATCCCCAAACGGACGCTTCCGCGCCGGGGCGCAGGCCGGTGTTGACGTTTTCAGAGCGCCCGGGTTTAGGGAGGTCTCCTGATGAAGAATAGACAAACAGGGGTATAGGTCCCTGTTTGCTTTCTTAAACGGACGACCCTGGCACAGGCCATTGTCAAGTGTGGTGGGGTACTGCTAAAGATTGAAGTTCACGGCAAGAACATGCTGCTCGGCTCGCGAGGCAAACAGAATGCCTTCTGTTCTTCCCCATACTGTAACCCCCAATGACGTCGCAGAAGCAACTAAATCAACAAACACTGAACTCCGAGCCATCAGCCCTGAACCCCCCACACGCCTTAAACCGTCCTCTTCGGTCATCCTCCTGCCGTTCAGCCTTCCCTAAACCCTAAACCCTAAGCCCTAAACACTAAATCCTAAACCCGATACCCTAAACCCGAAGCCCTAAACCCCAAACTCTAAATCCTAAACCCTAAACCCTAAGCCCTAAGCCCTAAAACCCTAAACCCTAAGCCCTGTGGCAAGGCGTTTGGCACCAGGCGGAGAGTAGTTTTCTCTTAGGAGATCCTCTCGTGGTGCTACAACCCGTGCGCGGTTTCGTACGCAAGGAACCCGCTCTCCTGCCAGCTGTACCTTTGAGGAGGCTGGATCTGGATCTATCCCCACCGGACGGACGTCGGTGGCTGGATCGCCTTCGGGCGTTTTTATAATCTCCACTGGTTTTGCTTCATCCTTGCCTTTCTGAGTTCTTACCTGGGGGTTCGAATTTCTGGACAAGTGGATGCATATCAGTTTGGTGTTCTGGTTGGTTTGCCTTTTGGGTGACTATATCAAGGACGCCGAGGGCCAGCAAATATCTGCCGGCCAGGGAGCCTTCGTGGCACCGCAACCTTCGAAAGAAGCGTACAAAGGCCCGCGTGAACTTGCGTGCCTTTCTGGCTGGTTTTCCAGTTGGACAGCAGGCGGTGCAGACGGCCTTGAAGAGGCTGCGCGGCCACCACAGCCGCCCGCAAATTGTACGACAAGCCCAAGAAGCTCTACAAGCAACAATGACTTCCTGGAGATGCAAGTGCGGATTAACGAACCGAGCCTCAGCTACGTTTTGTCCAGGATGTGGGAAACACTGGGCAAAAGGCGGCCAACCGCAGGCTTGGAGTCAGAATCCCGCTACGAGCTATGCCCCGCCGGAACAGCGGGGTTGGGATCAGCCTTGGCAAGAAGGCTGGGATCCATGGCCCTCCCGAGCAACGTCCCCGAGACCCAGATCGCCTCGAAAGCGAGGCAAGCAGGACAAAGGCGAGGGGAAGGGCAAGAAGGGCGGCAAACAAGGAGGCAAGAGCAAGGGGGAGGTGGCTACAGCGCCTTCCACCGCGCAGCTGCCGAAACCACCCAAGGCCAAGGCGGTCCCGGCGCCCAAAGCCTCGCCCTCTACGGAAGCTCCGACGGAGGACAGAAAGATGCTGGACTCTCTTCTGGACAGGCTTGGCCAGCAAGAGGACCTGCCGGACAGTATCCGGCAGCTCATGTCGCAGGCGACACAGTCGTCGGCCAGGTCAGAGGCGAGAGCGCTACACAAGCTCGTGGCGCAGAGGCAGGAAGCCTCATCTGCCTTGGACAAGGTGAGGAGAGAACGCCAGGCATTCGAGAACGGCTGGGCGATCTACACACAATCGCTCTTGGACATGCTGACCAAGCAGTTCGAAGACAGAGAGGCCACACTAGCTGCCCTGGAGGAATCACAGACAGCGTGGGTACAGCAGCTGACGGAAGCTACGCGTGCCCTCAAGCAGGCCACCAAGACGGACGATGTGATCAACCTCGAGGAGGAGCAGGACCAGGAGGCCATGGATGCGGAGGTCGACTTGGCAGCGCAGGAGTCGGCAAAGTGCGAGGTGCGCCAACAACGCCTTGCACAGCAACACTTGCAGCTCCGCAATGTCCTCACGGCGGTCCGGGACGATGCTTCCGATGGAGCCAAGCAGCAGGACCGCCGCGAGGGCTCACGCACTCCCCGGCGCAAAGGCCGGGAAGGAGACGCGATCAAAGAGGAGGTCGAGCAGAACGACAAGCCAGCGGATGGGGGCGCGCCTGGCGAAGGGTCGTCTTTTCACTAGGCTCCTCACGTTGCCTCTTTGGAGGTGGGGAGCCGATCACCGTGCACTCTGTAATGCGGGAGGCGGACTTCGTGGATGAAGATCTGGCCGCGATGATCGGAGTGCAGCTTGCCTATGATGTTCATTGCTGCCCGCACGGAGATTGTGGGCTCAGCTGGACAGACCCCAGAATTGCTGGACTTTCTGAGCCTAGTAGGCTCACCCTGAGCGACTGGCTGGAACAGTGCTGTTGCTCTCCCCAGTGCTGTGACCCCGATCTCGGCGCATTCCTGCGAGTTGGCAACGACATGAGTCGCGCCCCCACACGCCGGGAGACCCACTGCCACATGGACAAAGGCAGGATAGGGACCGATACTGTGGGAGGCGACGAGGTCGTTGGCTGCTTGCGGTTTTCGAGCCGTGTCGTGAGGCCAGCCACACTGAAAGCCGATGTACAGTCAAGCATAGGAAATTTTCTGTACAGCCACTCACCGCCTGCAAGCACACTCCGACGTGGCAAGCAGGTACGTAGTCGGGTCACCTTTGGCGAAGCGGACATTATAGAGGTTCCCAGGCTCTACGAATCACATACTGCCACCCTGTCCACCTGGGCAGCTGCGGATTGCAGGCGACAAGCCAAACAAGTTTTGCCAGGGTGCATAGTGCCTCCACTGCGTCCAAGGTCGGTTCCACGTCGAACCTTGCGCAGTCAGCCCCTGTGCCTCATCATGCACCTCTCAGCTTCCCAGGTGACTGCCCTCCGGGACTCCTAGGAGGTTTCGGGCCCCCACGGCCCTCCGCCATAGCACACATGCGTGCGCAGGCGATTCCGCTTTCTCCACAGGAGCTTACAGTGTTCCCGCTGTCAGAAGTGCCAATCGGCCAGCTCAAAATCCTCGCCACGGCCGCCAACACTGGCCGTGGACTGCGACGCTACACCTGCCTAGAGCGGCAGTTCCATGTCATGACCAGGCGCGCGGCGGATGACTGGTCTTTGACAGACTACTTTGCGGATGCAATTGGCGCCAGCCCTGAGACGGTAAGAAGCGCCCGCCTGCTGGAGCCTTCCATGCCAAACCTACAGGAGCCGCAAATTGTCACAACGGCCCTTGCACTTCCAGTGGGCCATGCAGTCATCCCGGTCGACCTTAGGGGTTTAGGTGGTAAGGTTTGCTGCGTTAGCGTCGCCCCGGGGGCAGAGGCCGACCAGGTCATCGCATCTGTTGTTCAGGCTTGTGGCGTACCTCCGGACCAAGTCGTCCGAGCCGCCCAGCTGAATGCCCTCTTTTTGCAAGATGCGCGTGGTAGAGTGTGGAATGTCATGCCGGCACAGGTGGAAGACATGCAGTGGCTTGTCCTCAAAATAGATCTTGCCCACTACCCACAGCTCGCCCAGCAACAGGTCACCAGCACCACCGCGACCACCACCGCAATGAGAGCCGGGAATGATGGCCCCACCATGGTCACATTCATCATGTCGGGCTGTGGGACCACAGTCCGCCTACAGCCACAAATCATGGCGCAGACGGATGTGCAAGCATCTGTCATGTCGTTGGTGCAAGCCTTAGCCATACAAGGCCGCATCCCGGATGGAGCACTGCTACAGCTCACAGGCGCCTTTCCCAGGTCACGCACGGCCAATGAATACATAGTGTCGTTAATCTGCTGTCCTCTTGATGGGGACGTGCACATAGCCTATGACCCCTCCAATGGCGGTTCTTACTTCCAGGCCATGACCGTCAACCCTGGCACCATGCCTGCCGACATGGTCATGCCAGCCCAACGGGACCGAGGCCTGTCGGTCCTCATCAATGGCATTCCTCAAGCAGCTCAAAACCGCCCATTGTGCAACGGGGACTTGGTCCAGCTTGTGCGAGATCCTGGCAGCCACTCGGTTGTGCCGATCACCTTTCTGTTGAGGGAGCTCAATCGACTCCGCTTCCTCTCGCTTCCCATGCGACTGCCCAGGGTCCGGCGGCCCTCCGACCATTTTGCAGAATGGCAGGCTCAGGCCGCTACCGGGCTGCAGCTTTTCTACGATGCTAGGTTTGCCGAAAGAAAGGCCACCATGGGCATGCCGGATGCTCAGCACCAGCCCATTTATCTGCTGGGGCCCAACCACGTGCCTATCTATGTGCAGATCCCAGGCATGTCTTGCCCCAGCTTGCGACAGGCCCAGAACGAAGTCCATGACCTTGGGCTCTTCGACGACAGTACTGCGTTGGCGGACACTTACGAGCTGCTCTTCACAATCCCAGTCTTCGTCACGGTCCCCGAATGTGTGTCTTACGCCACTCTGCTGACACCCGCGCCGGGGTTCCCCATGGACTTCCTGAGCTTTTCCGTTACACGGGGGAGACCCACTAGCGGGCTTAGGCTGCCGGTTGATAGTGGGTTCTACCTTCTGATGCCTGAAGTAGCCATTGATGGTGCCATCGCAGAAAGGAGACGAGGGCATATAGATCATCTGCCGGCAGGTGCACCCAGAACAGTGGCATATCGAGGCCGCCCCGCCCCCTCTTCGGGTGACACACCACCCCGGTCAGCGGAAGGCACCAGCTTGGTGCAAACGAGCTGGCCCAAGGCCAACAGGCGGCAGGTCATCTTTGACAAGGAGCCACAGCCCTCACAGGCGGGAGCCAGCCATGAGGTTGCCACAGGACCCTCGATTCCTACTCCGTTTGGAAGACGATGCCTACAATCGAGCAACCCTCCCGAAGCTGAGCCGCGCATTCTCACTAGCCAGGGGCCATCTTTTGAAGGGGCCATCACAGAAACACTGAACCAGGGCCCAAAGTCCCTTTGCCTCGCAGAGCTACTGCCACCAGAGCCGTGCCGACACCAAGGACCAGGCTTGAAGATAGGCGTCTCCCGAGATATGGTTGACCACGTTTTCCTCCCATACGGGCTGCATTGCCTGGACACCGCAGGCAACATCCCGGGCTTTCCTCGGCAAGCTGCCGCGACTTGAGCCAAAGCAGCAGCCAGCGGCATTGCAAATCTATGTAGACGGTTCCTACTTTGCAGCCAAGAGGCAAGAGGACATACGCGCAGCATGGTCTGTCATTGTGATTGCTTTTGCAGAAGGAGCCTGGCGCTGGGCTGGGCACCTCTCTCACCAATGCCCAGTGCAAGGAGACCATACCACTTTGGACCAGCCAGTCTCCTCTGTGTTTGAGATGGAGGTGGCAGCTCTCATGCACGCTCTCTGCCTATGTATGGCCACGCCAGTGGCGGCCTGCATAGGTTTCGATAGTATGTCTGCTGGATCTATTGCTGACTGCCAAGCCAACGACTCAGCCGGCGGGCCCATGGCGGCAGCCTGTGCATCCCTGTCACACTTGCTCTACCTGCAGCGGCGGTCACCGTGCATGTACCACATTAAATCCCATTCGGGGCACATGCTTAACGAGCTTGTGGACGATTTCGCCAGATCCTGTGCACTGCAGGGGAACACCAGGGAGGTAGCTTGTACCTTGAATGATGCAGTTCAGGACGAAGTATTGCCTTGGCTTTGGCTAGCGGGCGGCCTGTCAGCCGACGTTCCAGCCTTGGATGCGGCGGGCCGATTGGCCGACGACCCGGGGCCTGATGAGCATCTTACCCTCGCGGACATCATACCGACTGAGTCCTCTGATACCCTGCTCGGATGTGCTTGGGACCTGCGAGTAGCCAGTTACAATTGCTTGACTATGGCCTCGGTTGCGCAGCAAGAGAGCCTCAGCCAGCAATTTACGGAGGCCTCCATGTGTGTAGTCGGAATCCAGGAGACTCGCTGCGCAATGTCTGGTCGCTCGACCATTGGTAAATACCATGTGATAGCAAGCCCTGCGACCCAGGGCCAAGGCGGATGTCAGGCATGGTTTGCCAAGGACATGCCACTAGGATTCATTGGTCGACAGCCAGTATACTGGGAGCCGCGCGGCTTCAGCATCCTCCACAGCGAGGCCCAGCTTCTGTTGGTAGCCGCTCGAGCAGGCGGGCGCACATTCTCAATTCTGGTTGGCCACGCACCCACCAACAAAGCGCCAGTCGACGAAAAGAGAGTGTGGTGGCGCCGCCTTGACTCTGTCTTGCGCAAGGCTCCGCCGCAAGGGATACCCATCCTCTGCTTGGATGCTAATGCCCAGCTCAGTCTTCGTGAAGAATGCCCCGAAAAGGACAATGCCTGCTTCCTGGGCACTTTCCTCCAGCGCCACCAGCTGGAGTCTACCCCAGTGCGTGGAGTTGATGGTAAGGATGTGGTTAGCTGGATAGGGCCTAGCGGAGTGAGGGTTTGCATCGATTACGTCTGCTTCCCTGCCACGCTTCTTCCCCACCTTGTGTCGTTTGGCGCGCTGGAGCATTTCCAAGGAATACACGATCATGATCATCGGCCCATTGTTGCTCGGATGGCATGGCATGCGCCAGCACTTCGCGAACACCGGTGCAAGTCTTTCGATTCCAGGCAGCTCCACACGCCAAGGGGTCAGGCCGTGCTCCGGCATCTCTATCACACTATGCCACATTGCCCTTGGACACTCGGCGTCGATGAACACCTGGACAGGCTCAATAAGCACCTCCTTGATGGGCTTGTTCGACATCTGCCGAGACAGCCGGCGCAGCCAAGGCAGGCCGTGACTTCCGAGGAGGCTTGGTGTCTCATCCGTACGAGAAGGGCCTTGCGCCGGGAACTCGCGGATCGCAGAAGGCAAGAGTCTAGCGGACTTCTGGCCCTATGCTTCCACAGCTGGCGCTCGGGGCGCAAATGTGCGGAGGAGGACACACACCTTCGATACCTGCATGATGCACTACTGGCAAAGCAGGTTCAGGATCTCAGCAAGAGCATCAAAGCCCGCGCTCGTGCCGACTCGGCCTCAGCTTCTCGCCGCGCTTTCCAGGAGGCCAGGGGCAAAGGACCGGATGCGATTGCTCACCTTGTGCGCAACATCTGCAAGGCAGGGCGACGATACAAGGCTCCGCCCCTTGCTCCCTGCATCACCGCAGCCGACGGACGGACTCTCGGCAACTCCGAAAAGGCTCTTGGCGACCACTTTGCAGCAGCTGAAAGAGCTCTGGCGGCCACGCCTGACACCATCACCACGATGCCCAGAACACCCCTGGCCCACGACATCGATGTCCACAGTTCACTGAGCTTCGCAAGCTTGGCAGCGGCTTTTGGGGACCTCGCTGTCCGCAAGGCGCCGGGGCTGACCACCTTGCCTTCGGAAGTGTACAAGTGCGACAGGGTCGGCGCGGCAGCTGCGCATGCGCCGCTACTTCTGAAGGTTGCTCTTCGCAAGCAAGCGCCAATCCTATGGCGCGGCGGCAAAGTCACAGCGATAAGTAAGCCTAGCAAGGCCCCCTCCTCTTTGGAGGGGTGGAGGTCGATTCTCTTAATGGAGTCGGCCACCAAGGGCGCAGGACGTGCGTTGCGCCAGACCCTTGTTGAAGGCTACTCCCGTCTGCGCTGCGACGGGCAGGGTGGCAGCGTCAAAGGTGAGGCCATTCAGGTCCAGATGTGTCTGATCAAGGGCTTCATCAGGCGGATGCGAGAGGCCCAATGCTCAGGGTCTGTGGTGTTCATGGATGGCCGCCAGGCCTTTTATTCCACGATTCGGGAATCCATCCTCGGGAAGGACTCTCTCGCCACTGCTGAGTTCGTTCACAAATTAGGGGACGCCATTTTCACGGAGGCTGAAGACAGGCTCCGCTTCCAAGCCCTCCTTCTTGGGCCAGGCTTGTTGGAACAGGCTCATGTCCCTGAGTCAGTGCGCCGTGTAATTGCTGCCACCATGCACCAGACGTGGTTCGTCTTCGGTGAACGCAATCATTTGGCGTATATCACCCGGACAGGCACGACGCCCGGCGCTCCGTTGGCAGATTTGCAGTTCCAATTTGCCTTCGCTGCCATACTCACGGCATTGCAGCAAGCCATGTCCGACGCACAGCTTGTGCACGGATGCCCATCACACAGTGGAAATGACCTGATTTACCCGCCATCTCCTTCTTGGATGGACGATTTGGCCATTCCGCTGGTTTCGCATGATTCCAACGAGGTTGCTCCTCAGGCCATCGCAACCCTAGGGCACGTGGATCGGGCCATGGCAGCCATCGGCATCTCTTTGAATTTTGGCGGTGGCAAGACAGAGGTCTTGCCCCTCTTCCATGGCAAAGATTCTAAGGTCTGCCGACACAAGCTCTTGTGTGAGCAGAACGGCAGGATCGATGCGAGCCTTCCCAGCGGCCCCGTCGTCGTGCGTTTTGTCTCTGAGTATATCCACCTGGGTGCTTGTGTGGACTGGACAGGACGTGACATTCAGGACATCCGGAGACGAGCTGGCATGGCCCGGGATCTTCTTCACTCCGTGCGTAAGATCCTCAGCAACGAAAACCTGTCGGTCACAGAACGGGTCAGCATGCTGGTCGCTATGCCGCTAGCCCGTTTCCGACATGGTGCGGGGCTTTGGACCCTGGCATCTCAGCAGGAACGACAAGCCTACAGCTCAGCCTACATGTCGGTTCTCCGAGCGGCCTTCAGACGACTGCTTGGACTCACTGTACGACACCGCACAGATGACGAAATCTGCTTTGGCCTCGGGGTTCTTTGCCCCCAGCAAGCCAGAACGGCAGATCTCATTCGGCACTACGGCTGGATGGTCCGAGCCAGGTCAGCTGCTGTTACGGATCTCTGGCACGACCAGGGACCATGGGGACAAGAGGTCCAACAGGCTGCCAGGGCGATCGCCGAGACAAACAAGGTGCCAGGGACCGACGTTTTGGCCTTAATACGCTCAGACCCTGGACTTGCCACGAAGTTTGTCAAGCGGTTCACGGTGACATGCAGAGAGCGAGCCCGCAAGCAAGGCGAGGAGCTCCTGCCTGCCTGGCGGGGCCAACACCTTGCAGAGCAACAAGGCTGGGCTTTCTATAAGGTCCGGCCGGTCCGGGATGCCGAATGTGCGGCTCACCCCTGCCCAGAGTGCCCGACTGTATGTGGCAGTCTTGCTGCTCTTGCTGCTCACAGGCGCAAAAAGCACGGCCATCTCGCGCCTTCCACTGCGGCTGTCTTTGGCACTCGGTGTGAAGTTTGCATGAAGGAGTACTGGTCGGAGCACCGACTACGACAGCATTTCCGTCAGTCTCCCTTTTGCAGGCAGGTTGCACTCCAATCGGATATCACGGCTAGTGAGCCCGCCGCCACCACAGGCCCCACGGCATGGAAGCCAGTTGCGAAGGTGAGTGGGCCACAGCCATGGTGGGCACTGCAAAATCCAGCACCTGTGCCGTCTTCTCCAGCTCAACCAGTTTCAGGATGGGCACAGCTCGCGCACGAGCTGCACCGTGGGTTCTCCGAGGACCTCCCTGGTTTTTGGGGTCGACTCGTTGAGATAGGGGTTGATTTCGGTCTCTGTTATGATGATTGCCCCCTCACGATGACTTGCCATAAAAGCGGAGGCATACTGGGGTGTGCTTTGCAGGCGAGTGAATTCTTCTGTGCCGGCCAGAACGGCGCTGTCACATGCAAAGCATGGACAGCTGCTGTCCATGGCCACCATGTGATCCTAGCGCCCAAGGGGGCCAAGATCACTTTTGCGGTTCCTCATGAGTGGGAGCCATGCCTTGCCTGTTTGCGGTAGGGCTGAGGACATTTGCATGCTTGTGTGCACCGTGAGGTTCAGTCTTCTGTTCAAAAAAAAGCCCTGTGGCATCCGCTCTTCCCCAGGTTCTACTTCTTCGGGGCCGAGGGGTCCCAAGCTCCGAGTGTCGTGGTGCACGTTCACTTCGGGCTGGCTGGCGCCTTCGCCGTCTACAAGGAAGAGCCGGAGGTCCCCAGGCCCTATAGTCTCAAACCCTACTTGGAGGGATCCCAAAAAGAATCCTTAGGTTTAGGGTCCTATAAGGTTTAGGGTTTAGGCTGTAGGGGTTTATGGTTTAGGGTTTAGAGGGCTTAAATGGAGGTTTCATGGGTAGGTATAAGTAGGGTTATAAGTAGGGTAACTATAGTTATAACCCATATCAGGGGAGTTATAACCCCAGTCACTATCCATGAACCTCCAAGTACCCCCAATGCCTACATTCCAAAGCCAACCCCCCCAACAAGCCCCAAGTCCAACATCCCCGTGAATGATCAAAACCCCTAAATCCGCAAATCCCCCAAATCCTGAAACCCCCAAACCCTGTAAACCCTAAATTCCGAAGCCCTAGACCTTGAACCGAGCCGCCAAAACCCATAAATCCACCCCGAGACCCCCGAATCCTGCAAACTCTGAACCCCTTAATCCCCAACGGTTTCGGGTTTAAGGTTTAGGGTTTAGGGTTTAAGGTTCAGGGTTTAGGGTTTAGGGCCAAAGCCTTTAAACTCCTAAATCCTAAACTCGAAACCTTAAAACTTCCCCCACTTAGAGGATCATGGGACTTAGTAAGTAGGTTATAATTGGGGTTAGAAGTCCCCTAAGTGGGGTTATCCTAACTATAGCCTACTTATAACCTTACTTGCTAAGTCCCATGAGCCTTCCCCCAGAGACGGTGCCGAGGCCGGCTCGAGCATCCGCCTTCGTCTGGAGACAGCGGACAGCGCCTGGATTCAGGGTTTACCTTAGCCGTGAAGAACCTACCTTTTTAGGGTTCCTTATTATGATTTCCTTATATAAGTCCTTAAAACCCTAAACCCTAAACCCTAAACCCTAAACCCTAAACCCTAAACCAAAAGGTAGGTTCTTCAGGATTCAGGGTTGAGGGGTTTAGCCTTTAGGGTTCAGGGCTCAGGGTGTTGATGGGATTTCTATGGTTTTCATGGTCTTTGTGGGCGGGTTCTGTAGGGCTCAGGGTTTAGGGTATTCATGCGTCTGTATTGCGAGGTTGATAGGGTTTAGTTTAGGGGTTTGAGGGGATTCTGAGGGTATTAGCATTTTTTTTGGGGCAGTTTTCCTTTGGTGCGTTTAGCTAAACGTAGCCTCGTCAGGAAAGCGCATCCATTGACGACTTGCTGCTAGTATGGTACAACAAACAGAGATCCTTAAACCCCTACAAAATCCACAAACCTCCCGTAGCACCCTACGAATGCCAGAAAATTGTCGCGGCGAGCCTACGTCCTATACAACCCTGTGTAGAGAAGCCCAAAAACCGGAAAGCCTTAAGTTCGAAACCCTAACCGCTAAACCCGAAAAGCCTTGTAAGGCAAGGCCCCACATCTGGTCGCCCATTTGTCAGCCATGGTGGTGAAGCACGGATGCCCGGCGTCAGTTGCATCCCCTGGGTGACTTAGAAGGTTTTGACTCTTCGAGACGGTTTATACGGGCTGCTTTTAGGGTTACATCAGGGCTTCACGAAGTTCATGGAAGAGCTTAGGTACCAAGGAAGTTTCAGACATTTGAAGTCCTTTCAGGGTTTTCGGGGTTCTGTTACGATGCCAACAGGATTCTGCAAGGGCTCTGAAAGCCTTCCTCTGGGGTATAGGGCTTTCCGGGTTAGGATTTTAGGTGTAGAGTTCTGGTCCTCACGTTAAACCTCCTAATATGTAGGGCTTATGTCAAGGTCTCCTCCTAATCTCCGGAACTCACCCTTTCTCTCCTCGGTCGGTTCGGGGGAGAGGCGGTTTCTTGAGCCGGGGGCAAGAGAAGAGTGGCCGTGGCAGCGGCAAGAGCACAATATAGGGGCCTTAATAATAGGAATAGGGGTTTGGGGCCCATTACTATGAATATAACAAGGAGCCCCCAAAATAGTACATATTGGAAATTATTAAGGCCACTATATTAGCAAATGCTCGCGGTCCCTAAACTCTAAACCCCTTCAGAACTGCACGGCGGTCGTCCGCTTCGCAAGAATTAGTTTAGGGCTCCATAGGCCTGTCTTTCAAGCTCCGTTCCGTAGTTAGGTGTGTAGTAGCCCTCTAAGCCCTTTTGGGCCAGTAACCACAATCTGCCATCTAATCCGTCTAAGTCATCAAACCCTTAGCCCTAAACCCAACACGACACCCTAGGCCCTAAACCCTGAACCATGATACCCCTAAACCCTATCCTTTAAAACCCCAAGGAGGAATGCCTGAGTGATCCTGAATCGAAATCTTGGAACCCCTAAACCCTATCCCCTTAAACCCTATCCTCCAAAAACCCAAACTCTAAAACTCTAGGTCCTGAACCCTATCCCTCAAAACTCTAATGAGGAAAGTACGATACATGTACCGGAAACCCCTAACTCTAAACCCTAAACCTTATCCCCCTAGCATCCCTGCTGAGGAAAGCCAGAGTCTCTGTACACAGCACTGGTGGCCAAGCTTGGCGCAGACCCCCTGCGGGAAGACGCGGATCCGGAGAGCTTCGTCTCTGCCTGCGCTGCTGCGAAGAAGCCCGTGGGTACCGTTTTGAAACCCGGCCCTTGAACCTATAGAATCCGGAAAATTCGCGGTTTTTGGAGTTTGGGGTTAGGCTTTTGGGGTGCAGGGCGTAGGCTTTGGGGATGAAAGGGTTTTCGGGGTTTACAGTCGAGGTTTCGTTTACAGTCGAGGTTTCGTTGATAGGGCTTCGAGTTTTAGCCCTTCCGTACTCCGGGAGCTCGGCCGAGATGGCAGCCAGCACACGAGTCGTTGTCACGTCTGCACAGCTGTGAGCTTCTTCAGGCGAGGGGTGCGTGTAGGGATGCCATGATGTAGGGCCTTCTTCTCTGGAGCTGGCACTTGCCGCTTCTCTGAAGATGGTGAGTCCTTTGCCAGCTAAGGATGGACCAGTCCGTGTGCGCGGGTGTTGGAAACATCTATCGCACCGAAATTTTGTACGAAGCTGCAATCCATCCCAATCAGCCGGCCAATACATTGACGAGGGCAGAGGTGTTGAAGCTCTGGAACACAGCCGTGAAGCAGATGCAAGCAGGCTCCTGCTGTGCCGGCTTGCTTAGGCCTGAAAGCGCGAATGCGCTAACCACAACTAACTATTGATATTGGGGGAGCTAAGGAGCCAGAGATGATGATAATCCCTATTAACTAAGGAGCTAAAGAGCCAAGGGAACCCTCAAAACCACGGGTTAGACAAACCCAAAGTAAAGGTGTGTCGCTGTGGGTTTGAGCAAGCTTGACACTTTACCCAAACTGCAGAATCATTCCCACGGCTACAGTAGATGTAGGCCTTTCCACAACTACCATGGGTTCTGACACCGGCAGCTGTTCAATGTCATGGTTGCAAATTGCAAGCAATTCGGCTCCCTTGCACCAAACTCGGACTTGACACGGTTTAGGAATTTTTGTGCTTAGGGTTTCGGGGTTTGGGGTTAGCTTGTTCAGCAGTGCCATGACTTGCCTCGTCCGGTTCAGGTTTCAGATCAGCCGCAGTGAGTTTTTACGACCTCCATGACAATCTGTATCATTCCTAAATGGAAGGCTAGCCCCAATCATAAGAGTTAGCACAAGTTATACGGGTCTTCGTAATAACAGAGTAGGCTTGGGGAATATTAGCGGGACTACCGGGGAATCTTAGTCCTAAGTGTTCCGACCTCCTCTATATCCTAAGCCCTACACGGTAAACCACAAACCCCTAAATCCGAAGCCCTAGACCGCGTGTAAATGGTTCCCGAATCGGCCACGTAGTTCCTGGGTTTGGTTTCCGAAGTTCTTGTTATCCGTGCGAAACCCAAAACTCTTGATTTGTTGCTGAGAGAGCATTTGGCTTCGCACCCGAAGCCGTCGCTTCGCAGGCTACCGTAAACCATGAACGCCTGCATCCTAAGCCCCTAACCCCTAAATCCCTAAACCCCTTAACCCCCCAAACCCCTAAAGTCTTGATCTGTTGCTGAGAGAGTCGCCTGGCAGGCTACAAGTCAGGCTCCATCTGGGGCACGAAGGCCGCCTGGCCGAGTCTCATAGGAGGCCAAAAGGGGTTCTAGCGTATGGGGGTTTGGTCGATATTACGGTTCCCATAATAGGGTTCGTATTAAGGAATCCCTACCCCAAGAATCTTAAACCCCCCTTTTGGCCTCCCATCAGAGTCGTTTGGTGTCTGAAAGTTTGGGGTTTGGGGTTCTTAAAGTTTGAGGTTTTAGGGTTCTTGAACTTCGGGGTTTTGGGTTCGAGGTTTCAGGGTTCTTAAACTTCGGGGTTCTGGGTTGGCTACGGGTTTGTGCAGGGGTTGCGAGCACATGGTATTTTAGTGTTTATCGGACAGGGTGTTGTAACTGGGGTTTACGATTCAGGGCTTTCTGTGCACAAAGCCTTAAGACAACCCTAAATCCGAAACCCCGTAAATCCTACACCCGACCCAGCCCTAAACCCTACTTAGAGGATCATGGGACTTAGTAAGTAAGTTATAATTGGGGTTATAAGTCCCCTAAGTGGGGTTATCCTAATTATAACCTACTTATAACCTTACTTACTAAGTCCCATGAGCCTTCAAGTAGACCCGAAACCTGTAAGCCCTAAACACGGACCGAATCCAGGCTGGTTCGTTCTGCTATGACAAGAAGCAGTCGGCTTGCGGCGGAAAGGTGAAACACTGGAAGATGGGAGGTGGACGTCGTTGGTAGCGATTTCAGGTTTCGTGTTTAGGGGTTTAGGGTGTTTAGTACAGGGCCTAGGGTATAGGGTTTAGGGTGTTTAGTATAGGGTCTTGGGTTTAGCATATTCTCGCCGCATTCTGACCGTGTATTGCCACAGTCCATTGCTTCAACTCGTGTTGTGATTGTTGCCGTGTTGGCTGTTGCGCTACCTGCATCCCTGAATGTGTTGCTGGGTTGTCATTAAGTGCTTACAACGGAAGTGGAAAAGACATCTGCAGGTGCTTTTGAACACGAGGTGAGTTACTGCGACTGCGACTGCTGCTGGTACTGCTACTGCTAGCGCTACTGCTAGTGCTGGCACTAGTACGACGGCGACTGCAGATACAGTTGTCATTTAGAAGCAGAAGCGAAGCTCCAAACTCAGAGCCATGTACTATAGGAGCTGAAATAACTACCAAAACTATCTTGGGGGTTCCTTACTATAATTATAGTATAATGGTCAAAAAAATCCTATTCTAATTATTGAGACCCCGATATTACGCTGCGAGCATTTGCATCCACCCTTCACTACACCTGTGGCACGCCCCGACCCCGAGCACCTCATCCTCTGGGTTAAGAGTTTAGGGTTTACGGAACTTAAGTTACCATAAAAGGGATCTATAGTAAATAACATGGTTCCCTTTTTATGGTGACTTAAGTTAGATCCCTCAACAAGACCCCAGTCTTCGAGGCAGAAGCGTTTACGCCTGTCAGAAACGTCAGCGCTTGGAAGCTCGAAAGGCGTCCGACATATTTCATGAAGAGTCGGCTTTCAGGGTCCTTTATGGCTTCATAGCAGAGGAAAGGAAGGGTTCTTTTAAAGGATTCTGTGTAAGAGGGGTTCTGCAAAGTAGTTTTCAAACCTAGCCTAGGGGGCTCATTCTGGGAATTTTTATGGAGTTTTTGAGGGAACCTTTATTGGGTTAAGACAAACAGGAAAGGGTCGTTTCTTTTTCTGTGGGGGGGGGTAGTTTTCTGGAGGTTTCGATACAGTTTCAGTGAATGCTGCAGCGAACGGAGAGTAGTTGCTGCCGTCTTCCGCCAAGAGTTTTGTGCAGGCGCAATAGAAGTGGTGGTGAGATCTCTGTGCTATAACCGAATTATTTCGGAGTGTTCCTTTTTTCAGACGTCTTGCAGTTTCTGAGTTGCGGTTGTCTAGAGCTTTACGACTAGTTATAGTTGGGTTCTCCGGGTTGGATGAAGGAGCTCTGCTTTGAGTTCTGCTTCGACTCTGGGCTCCCCTCCTTTGTTGGAAGTCTTGCTGCACATACAGCTCTTAGGGTTTAGGGTGTTGGGTTGAGGGCTCAGGGGTTAGGGTTTTGCTGCACATACAGCTCTTAGGGTTTAGGGTTTTGGGTTGAGGGCTTAGGGTTTAGGATTTTGCTGCACATACAACTGCACCGACATTTGTCCTACAGCCCTACTGCTGACCCTTCTTCTTATCGCACGTTTCATGTTGCGACCATTCTTCACATTTTGCTGTATCTTGATGGGTGGCATTGCTACTACCATGCCTTGTATCGGACCGCAGAATGTTGTTGGCGGCTAAATCATTAGTGCCAGCCGTAGCCTTGTCACATGCTGTTCTCACCCAAACGATTCTGAGCGTAGTTGTAGGTTTCGGTTTCAGTGTAGGGTGTGGTAAAGATACCGCCAGGATGTTCAGCCCCACCTATAGTTACCAGTATTGCCAGCGCTGGTTGTAGGGCTTGTGCTCCTAACTTTCTCAGCACAGCGGATTCAGATCGTTGACTTTTCTCGGTCCTAAGCCCAACTTGGAAGGGCAGGGGACTTAGTAAGTAGGTTATAAGTAGAGTTATAAGTACCCTAAATGGAGTTACCCCAATTATAACCCTACTTATAACCTACTTACTAAGTCCCCTGCCCTTCCAAGAATGATCATGATGGCCTAGCTGGTCCCTTCAGCACCCTCTGCCCTGAACCGCAAAACGCCCTACAAGCCCCCTAAACCTTAGGGGTACCTAGAAAGAAACAGCTAAAATTATGATTTTTGCTAGGGTTCTAAGTTCAGTATAGAAACAATGAAGACCTCAACCCTACATTCCCTAGACCTCGGACATCTCCAACCTTGAGGCCCTACAACCCAAACTCAAGCAGTTAGGGTTGAGGGTTTAGGGTTTTTCGAGCAGTTTAGGGTTTAGGGTTTGTCTAGCAGTTTAGGGTTTAAGTTTTAGACGGTTTGGAGCCTTGAATCAGGCTCCAAAAGAATCGAAAGCTCCATCGCTGCGCCGATCTGGCACGCTGCACGTGGACGGCGTCGTCTCGGCCGTCAAGGTGAGCGCAAAAGCTAAACCCGCAAAGTCGTACACGCTCAATCCCAAGCTTTTGAGGCCTTTTGACTTTCGGGTTCCGAGTTCGATTGAGGATTATTTTGGGTATTGGGGTTTTAGGTTTGGTTTAAGGGTTTGACCCCCAGCAGCGAAGAATAAACCTCCAAACTCTACATGGGAAGAGCTGAACCCTTTCCCTTAGAAGCTGCCCCCACCCTGTAATAGTGGTATAATAGGAACATAATTGGATTTTAATCGGGCCCTAATATAATCCTTATAGTAGTCACTATTACAGGGTGGGGGCAGCTTCTACTTAGAGGATCATGGGACTTAGTAAGTAAGTTATAATTGGGGTTATAAGTCCCCTAAGTGGGGTTATCCTAACTATAACCTACTTATAACCTTACTTACTAAGTCCCATGAGCCTTCAAGTAACCTTTGCCTTCTATCGGTGACGCCAATGTATGAACATTAGGTCGAAGCCCCAAACCGCAAACCGCAGTACACGGTTGCCAGGGCGTGCTTGCAGGTTCAGGGGTTGTAGTGGGGACGAGAGCCCTGCGGATGAGAAAGCATCGGGCCAAGCGCTCACGACAGTTGAGGGGTGTAAGGTTCTGGTGTTAAGACTGGAGGGCGTAGAGGGCACGCGGAGGTGATCATTCTCGTTTTCAGGCTGAGAACAAGGTTCGGGTTATAAGGTCTTACAGTCTCTTTCCGTTTTGTGTGCTCGCTTGTCTGGCATGCTTGCGAAAATCTGCAGGCACGCAAGATGGGCTTAGCATTAAACAGTTCAGGGCACATGGGCCCCAGACGCAAGCGAACAGCGCAACCGGCGAACTCCAATGCCCTGAAAAGCAAACCGGAGCACCCCAACTCCATTCAGAAACTCTGAAGCCCCGACCCCCCCCCCCCCCCCCAAACCCTCTGCCCTAAAGGCCTAAAGTTTCCGGCAGCTTGATATTTCAAGACCCATTACTAGCCACAAGAACAAATTTCGATAAGCATTGTTGCAAAAGGTATAGGGTTCAGGGTTTAGAGCAGGGCTCCTTGTAAGTAGCTGTGGGCCACGCCCAGGATGAGACTTGTCGGGTTCTTGATGAAGAATGTAAATCGAGTTACCAGAATAGGCATCTATAAGGGTTCCTTTCAGGGTTTAGGGTGTAAGGTTTCAGTCGCCATAACAGGGATCTATGGTAAATACGATGGGTTCTTTATTGTGGCAATTCACTTTAAATTCCTCAACAAGAATCCAGGATACTGCCCTGCTTTTACCATACGGGTTTCGTGCCTGGACATCTAATCTCAGGGGTACTTAGAAATAACTTTTAATCTTTGGTTCCCATGATCCCTAAGAGACAGCTCGTCGAAACTACAACTGTTGCTAGGGGCTCTAAGTTCACTCAGGGGTACTTAGAAATCACTTTTGATGTTTGGATTAGGGATTATAGGAACCAGCCAGGGGCCTTAAAGTTCAGTATACTAGGACCTGGAGTAGGCCCTTATTCCCTTTTTAAGGGTTCAGTTCCCTTATATACCCCTTTAAACCAAAAAGGGCACCCTTGTTATTCCTAGGTTACTCTTGGGTCTAGTATAGTAATCTGGGACGTGTGTTCCAGATGACTTGAGGCCCTGGCTTCAGCCGGCACGAGTCAAACGAAACGGGCCTTGATAATTACCTATTCTATTTTGGGGGTTCCTTATTATAGTTAAAGTATACTATACCCAAACCCTATTCCAGTTCTAAGGGCCTTAAAAAACCTATACTATATTGTGGGTTCCTTATTATAGTTATATTATATTACACCCCAAAAACCTTATTCTAATTAATCAGGCCCCTATATCCCCAATTTAAAAGGAACCCTTTATAGGAACCTATTCTAATTAACAAGGCCACTATTTTGCCTTATCGCAATAGCCGAAAGCCTCGGAGCGTGGTCAGGTGGTGATGGATATGTAGGATGATGGCAGAATACTGCGCAAGCACGTAATTTTGAAGCCCTGAACCCCCCTAAACCCTAAACCCTTAACCCTAAACCCAGTATCCTAAACCCTAAACCCTAAACCTTATATAGACCTTGCACATCCGTGAGCACACCAACAGCTCCGCGAGGCAGAAAACAAGAAACGCGCGCACCGGCGAGGCCTCGGGGTCCAGCATGTCGCACTGAAGGACGACGAGACGCGGAATCTTGGGCCTTGATTTGCTTTTGGGTGTCGGTTTCAAACTTAGGTATTGGTCTTTAGGCATTCAAGTTTAGGGTGCTGGCTCGCAACTGATGACGCAGCAGCAGCAGCAATAAGGTGACAAGCGAGAATTGAACAAGAAGAAGCATGATGATATTGGCATGAAGGGCACCCACAGCCCGAGCTATTCGGCTCAGACCCTACAACGCTAAACGCCAACCCAAAACCCTACAGCCTAAGGGACTTCAGCACTGCACCTTTTGGCTTGTCCTTAGTCAGGGTTGTCACTTTCGTTCTACTATTCATAGGTATTTGGATCTACGTATACATATATCTGTGCATACAAACATACGTACGTAGTACATACATGCACACACACACAACATATATCTGTCTATCTCTATCTCGATCGCTATATCTGTCTCTTTCTCAAGCTGTAGCCATAGCTCTAGCTGTGTCTACATCTTTTCGTATCTATATCTGTATCTATATCTATGTCTACACCTGTCTATATCTATATCTGTCTGTCTGTATATATATACACACATATATATCTGTATAAATATTAAATATCGAAAACCGTATGCATACAAATGTGTGTGTGTGTGTGTTAAAATATGCATATATACATGGGTGCTATGTATACATATGTATGTCTACACATATGATATGATATATATATATATATATATATATATATATATATATAATAATATATATAATATATAATATATAATAAATTATAATAAATATAATAATATAATATAATAATATATATAATATAATATAATATAATATATATAATATAATATAATATATATATATAATATATATATATATATATATATATATATATATACGTACATACATACATACATACAAGAGAAAGACAAGGAGAGAGACATGTGCACACACACACACGCATAAACTCACAGGGGTTATCAATTGCGATTGCTAGTTTCTGGGGTCTTATAGCTTACGCCCCCGAATCTCTGCCGTTCACCCTCAGCGTCAAGTTCCTCAGCGTCAAGTCCCAACTGTAAGGTTCTGAACGTCTAGATCTATTAAGGGGTGCGGGGCTCTCTGTGATATTACTATCCTAGACCAAAAAGCCATGCAATGTCATGACCTTCCCAAAGCCCACAAGCCCAGTCAACCCGCTGTAAGCGCCATCCTCATGAAACCTGAACCCTAAACCCTTAACCCTAAACCCTATGCTTATAAATTCTAATGCAGTGGCTCGGGTTTGGTCTGGAGCCGAGCATCAGAGCGATGTCTCAGGGCGGCCGCCCTGGCAGCACGCGTCCGGAAGCGCCCAAGCAAGAGATGACATGTAGGTGGGAGTTAGGATTAGGGGGACCCTTGGGGATAAAGACCCTCTCCATGAGGCCCCTTTTAAGAGAGCCGGAAGTAGGGTTCAGAAGGGGTACCCTTTAAGGTGTCTCCCTAATAATACTACCCAGTACAGGTTCCGGCATGTTCTGTGAGGAACCCACCTGTGGTTCCTGTGCTTCCGGCCTGATGTGGCAGCATTGGAAAAAGGCAGCCGAAACCCTCGACCCTGAACCCTGAACCCTAGACCCTCAACCCCAACCCCTCAACCCCCTAAACCCTAAAACTCAAACCCTGAACCCTAAACCTTAAACCATAAACCCTGAATCCTACACTTGAAACCCTAAACCCTAAACCCTAAACCTCAAACCCTGAACCCTACAACTTAAACCATACACCCTAAACTCTAAACCCTCAACCCTAAACCCTAAATTTTAACCCTAGCAGAAGCCCTAGAGTCCTCCTATAGAAGCCCAAAGCCACGGCAGGTGCTGGCGGCCCACTCTGAGACACTTGCGAAGCGCCTCCAGGACAAAGGTTATAAGGTCTTTTTCTTATGGGTTCCCTAATTTTCCTTGTTTTTTATAGCTTTACCAGAGCATGTACCAAAGCGCAGTGTTAATCTGGGCTTTGGAGTACCATACTTTAATACTCTTTTTGGCACCTGTTACTTCAAGGGAACCAACTATGAGAAACAAGTCTATACTTCTTTCTCCTTTATTACTTCAAAGCCCAGTAATTAATTATTGTGGCCACACTATAACTTTAGAGACCCTTTGCAGGATGGGCAAGCAGAGCTGGATTTCCATCAGGCGCAGATGGGATCCGCGTGCGCGGGCTTAAGGTTAAGGATTCGGTTTAGGGTTTAGAGTCTTAGGTTCAGGGTTTTGGGGTTAGGGTTCAAGAACAAGGGTTCGATAATCAGGGTTCGTTTACGGGTGCTACTGTCTTTAGGATGTTTAGAGTGGTCCAGGGGTTTAGGCTCTTTTGGCAGAGGTGCAGGTAGAGGTTATAGGCTAGAGGGTTTAGGGGTTAGAGCACGAAGTGCAGCAATTTTGGGTCTTGACAGGCAAGACCTAGCAAGTTGGTGTTCAAGGGTTCCCGAAAGTCCCGAGGTTTGAAAACCCTAGTTGAGCCTAAAGCCCTACACGCCGAACAACCGCCCAAAATATGGATGCTTCCATGATCCTAATGCATGTCCCGAAGCCGATGTAGGGCTTAGGCTTTAGGCTTTAGGGTAAACCCCAAACCCCACAAAACCAGCAAGCCCTAAATCGGGACAGGCGAGCCACGAAGCTGTGGACTACGTGCGGGCCCTGAGTCCCAAAACCCAAAACCCTAAACACCTGATAATCTAAACCCCTGAACCTTAAAAACTCTCAACCCCAGATCCTCCTTAGAGAGAGGTAAACCATTGCTTGCTTCAGTGGTGCTCCTGAAGCAGACTACGGGGGGGTTTAGGGTTTAGGGCTTCAGAGTGTTGATCAGTTAGTCATTAGAAATAGTATTCCTTTGGGCTCCTTGTTACATTCACTCCCTACGATGCCCTCAAACTATTCAATTTTTAAAGGCCCCTTCGCTAGGAATTCGAGAAGGGTTCTCTACGGCCGGGTTGTACAAGGGTTCTAAGGGCTCAAGGTCTAGGGCTTGTGCTTCAGGGTTGCACGTAGGGTTTGGAGTTCGGCGAGATACTTCAAAGCACATTTATGATCCCACAAATACAAGAACCCTGAACGAAGGGGGTGCTGGGTCCTTTGGGGGACCCAGGGCACCGAAAACTGCATGCACCCCGTCTGGAACACTTTCAGGACCTGTAGAAATTCGAAGACACGTAAGACCCATAGAAGGCTCTTATTATGCAACCCTGCTAAAGCCCTTATGCCTCCCTTATACGACCCCCTCCGATCCCTAAGCTCCTCCATGCCAAGGTTGTGCGATTCTGCTACGGAGAGGCCATCATTTCAGTGTTTTGGAGTGTTTGTATGTGATTGAAGGGGTTTAGAGGGTTCGAGTTTCAAAGAACCTGAGTTTTTACGTGATAGAGGAGGGCCTCTTTGGTTCGTAGCCGTTCCCTCTTTGAACTGGGTTCTAGAGGCTTCGACAGGGATTCAGACGGGTTCGATGTTTCATGTTTTAGGGTTCAGGGGATTTTGGCGAAAGCTTCTTGATGAGTCGCCAGATCTCCGGCTGCTTGGTTGGAAGTTGATGGGCAGGTGGGAGATCTTCTCAAGTTACTATCAGTTTCAGGGTCCCGCAGCTTCGGATTTATGTTGAAGCCCCCTCATTCTCTGCGACTCCAAGATAGAGCTAAGGGCAGATGTCTTTCAACTGCTTCCTCAGGTACAAGTGATAAGCAAGTGATCTCTTCACTGCGAAACCGAGTTGTGTTATTGGGTGTAGGGCAGTGTAGGACTTAGCTGGGTTTGGGGCTGAGGGTTGTATGAAACAATGGCAGTAGCACATCCTTCCTGTCACCATACAGCTATACTATCATAGACCACCACCTTGCTCTTGATAACATGCTTTTCTAAACTATGGCAACGCTAGGGGCTTCCGTATGCGGCCTGACGAGACTCGTGCAAAGCATGGCCCCAACCCCTAGACCCGAACTCCCCCCTAAACCCTAACCCCAAACCCCGAAATGTCAAACCCGTAACCTCTAAGCCCCTAAACCCTAAACCCCTAAACCCTAAACTCAATCCCTAGAATGCCGCATGCCTGACAAGGTCCGACTTGAGAGTTCTGGGTCTAACATGTGTAAAGAAATCCCTAAACATGTAGTTCTCTAGAACCTAGGTTTAGGGTTAGGGGGACTGTAAAAGGGACCCTAGAGTCTAGGGTCCTTTTAGGGTCCTTTTTATAAGGTTGCCGTACTGGTTTAGGGTGTAGGGTTTAGGGTTGGGGGAACCCGAAGGGGACCCTAATCTAGAGAGCCATCCAACTACTAAGCCCGACATTCGAACATCGAACTTCTAAACCATGGGATACGCTCCCAGGATTATTCTCCGAAGCAGCTAGGCCTTCGACTACAAGGGGTCTCATAGTATGGTTTAAGATAGATTCCCAGTTTAAGGAACATACCTTATATATAAGGGGCCTCGTATTATGGATTAAGCTCTATTGCTTAGACGATAAGGGGCCTCGTATTATGGTTTAAGCTAATGAAGTGGTATTGGGCTCTTGGGCTTCTCCTGCTGCAAAGGTCAAACAGGACAGCTTTCAGCCCTCCACTTCCAAGGCGCCCGGTGTTTGGGGAAGGTACCCAGAGATCCCGATATCCTTGTATTTTTGGGCTTTGAAGTAACCAGAGAGAAAAAAGTATAGACTAGTTTTTCATAATTTGTTTCCTTTACGTAACAGGTCCCAAAAAAAGTACTAAAGTATGGTACTCCACAGCCCAGATTAAGCATCATACCTTAAATGTCCGTAAATCATATTAGGGATCCTGCTATAATTTGGAGGATATCTCTTAATTCAGGGATATTGGAGTCTCTGGGTAAGGCCTAGGCAGTCTAACCTCTACGTCCTCAACCGGAAGTGGGGGAATGTTTGGCTTTCGGCTTTGGGGTTTGGGATTTGAATGTTTTTAAATTTCAAGTCTGTATATTGAGATTTTGAAAAACCCTAAACCTTCCTTTGAAGCCATACGTAATCCTAAGCGTGGGCTTGACTATCAGAGCTTTGCCCTCTAAGAAAGGCCAGACTCCGACGGATAATCTCGGGAAGTTCAACTACGGTTGATAATATAAACCCTGCATTTCCTTAATGACCGAGACTATGGGAATTATAGTACAGTCTTTGTTATGGGTATTTCATCAGCCGTAGTTGTGTGAGACGGCTTCGGGTTCAGGGTTTTGGGTTAAGGCTTTGGAGTTTTCGGGTGAAGGGTTCAATGCAGAAGTCGCAGTAATTGGCAATGGATTCCTGGAATCCTGTTTAGAGGCCCTTTATACGTATGATATAATGCACCCCCAAACCCGATACACTGGATTTCAGCCTCCTTTCTTGGGAGGGGGGGGGGCATGTTGATATTCTTGTTGGTTCAGGTCTTCCCCCTAAACCCTAAACCCAAACCCTAAACCCTCAAGGCCTTACACCCTAAACCCATTCAGGGGTCTTCCAAGAAGACCCCCGGCCCAAAACGCTATTCGCAAGCCCGTTTTTGCAGGGCCCCTCCTGGACCCCTCAACCCTAAACCCAACACGTCGAAACCCAAGACCCTAAGCCCCAAACCCCAAACCCCAAGCCCTAAGAGCCTAACCTATGCCCATAGAGGGCTTCGCGTTTCGGAGGTCAACGAGGAGATCCTCAAAATCTCGCCGCTCACTTGGGCTTGGTGTCGTTGTGCGACAGGTCATCGACGTCGTAGCGATAAAGGGGACCCTCATCTCTAAACCCTAAACGTCAAGGTTCAGGGTTGAGGGCTTAGTTGAGCTAGGGTTTAGGTCGATTTTTGCAGGGTTTGGGGCTTAATATGAGTTAGGGCTTCGGTTTAGGATTGAAGCGAATTTCGGCTTTGCTGTAGGGCGTGGGAGGTTTTGTGACTGGGTTCAGGGTCAGCAAGTTTAGGTGTTCGGGTTTACGAAACTTACTGCTCCGGCCATCGGGTTTGGGGTTTGGCGTTTGGGGTTTAGGGTTTAGGGGTGGCAGCGATACTCATCACAGGAATGAGTTCAGGGTCTAGGGTCTTGCACACAACGTAGATCCCGTGTCTTCGCACAGAGAGCCAGTAGCCTTGACAATTGCACAGCATGTCTTAAATCATGTCAGGATCCCTTCAAAACATAAGCACAAGCCCTTTGCTGGGCCGCATGGGCAAACCCTTAATTATTTCACAAAGCTAATAACAGGGTCCCTGGCTCTCCCGGAGACTCCAATATCCCTTAATGAAGGAATATTCCTTAAATTATAATAGGATCCCTAATATGATTTAAGGAATATTCCTTAATTACGGGATATTGGAGTCCCTGGCTCTTGCAGTGCCGGGATCTGAAGTGA